GTTTAATGAATAAAACAAATTTCTGACTTGTATACGCCTCAATAGAAGAGATTATTACACCGCCAAACTAGACATGGAGACCAGGGAGTCGCGGGGATAGCAAAGGGGTTTGTAGCTGGGGTAGAATAAAGACTCCCCGAGATTGGACACTTTAAAGAAGTAGACAACAGATCAAACAAAAACCAATGTGAGGGGAGACAGGTAAAGGTGAAAACAGCAAGGGAAAACAAGGCACCAAGCGGGGTTTAAGAAATCAATAATAAAGGGGGACTAAAGCAATAATATAAAATAAAGGGCAGCACAAAATCGGGGATTTAGATAAGGACGCAAGAACCATATATTTAAGGGGGGTAAAAAAGGGAGGCAGGGAGAGAACAAGGTATATGAAATGTTGTGGTCGTCCAGTGGGAGCAATGGGACTTTGCGCAGCTGGTGTTTCCTCATTAAATGAAAAATTGCAAATGGGCGGCATAGAGAAGACGTTAGCACTTGGACGATACAGAAAATTCGGGTGCATATTTGGCCGAAAGAGAGGAACACAAGTTGCCTAGTATAGTTGGTAACGGTCACAACGCTCTTATTTTGATGTGGGACAACAGAAATGTACAATAGCAGAAAAGCCAGTAGAGTAAAATAAGATCTTAAAGAGAAAAGTTTAAAAGAGAAGTTTAAAAAAGTGCAAGCGAAAATAAGACAAAGCCCGCAGCATGCAGGGGAGAATGATCCGGCTCACTGGATATTGAGTTCCCCAGTGGCTCATTCCTCTTGGTTGACTTTGATCCATCTAACACAGAATGGGACAGCCGGGGCAACTGGAAAAAGATTTGAGGGAATCTTTGTCTTTTTTTTTTTTTTTTTTTTTTTTTTTTTTTTTTTTTGTTGATGGTTGTCGACCTCACTCGGATTTAGCTTCTGATGGGATGTTGCTCAAAAATCTCACAGGAATAAGGTGAACAAGCGATATGCGCATCGATTGGTCAAATTCGAGTTGGGATCAACCTTTGAGACCATTAAAAAAAGCCTCCTAGATAGACTCCGGAAATGAAATATAAGTCGACCAATTGCACTGCCAGATGATCCAATTTAAAGAGAACCCATGCACGTGATTCAGACAATCCACACCCATCTCAACGCAACGATGGACACCGCGAGCCACGGAAAGAGTGTCCAGATATCGTTATCCCAGTTACTGAGGCTTAGCTGTTGGGACCCCCGATCGATATTGCCGGGCTGCAAACATAAGAAAGAAATTTACAAGATCCTGCATTTCGATTTCTTATCCTTCTTTGCCAAAAGTGCTGCCCGAGTAGCGGACTCGAACACCTCACGAACTCCATCATTTGTCCGGGCTGAGCATTCCAGGTACTTGTAGGCGCCAATCTTCTTGCGGACCTCCTCACCCTACAAAGATATCAGCACCAGGAGGAACAACATGATCGAAACCACTAAAGGGGGGGGTATTTGGTTTGTTGGCATACCTGTTCTGGGGTGACGGGCTTCTGGGAGGTCTTAGTCAACTCCGCAATGGTTCTGGGGTCGTGGCGGAGATCCTTCTTGCAGCCAACGAGGATAATTGGGTGGCCTTGGCAGAAGTGTAGAACCTCAGAAATCCACTGTAGATCTGGTTAAAACAAATTTACAAATAATGGCCGGCAACATTCTAGGTTTCCTACCTTTTCTTGAACGTTGTCGAGCGAATCAGGGGAATCAATAGCGAAGCAGATAAGAATAACATGTGAATCAGGGTACGAGAGGGGTCTGAGACGGTCGTAATCTTCCTGGCCAGCCGTATCCCAAAGTGCCAGTTCGACATGCTTTCCATCGACCTCAACATCGGCCACGTAGTTCTCAAAAACAGTTGGGACATAGACCTGAAATTGGAGAAATATCAGCTTGGCTATTTGTGGTTTTTGGTGTGCCAGGAATTATAATTATATAAATTCATCACATGGCCCAGAGAGGTTACTACGAGTCAAAGGGTAAATAGGGTGCAATGAAAGTATGTACCTCAGGGAAGGTTCCCTTGGAGAAAACACTGTATAAAAAAGATGTCAGATATTAGTATTGCAAACACTTAGCGGACGACAAGACACAAGTGTGAAACAGCACACTTACATCAACAGACAAGTCTTCCCACATGCACCATCCCCAACAATGACAAGTTTACGGCGGATCTCAGCCATTTTCAATAGCAAACTAGAGACAGATCAGTCATCAAGCATAAACAAGAGCAACAAGCCAACCAGTGGCAACTGTGAAGGCAACCAGTGGCAACGGTAAAGGCAGTAGCAGCCTCAGAAACCGTAGCAAGAGTTATATGAGAACAGCAGTAGTCTATTGACGGAGGTTGATACGGTTGCGTACTGCTACTGGTCCTGGTGTCGGTGGTGTTGGAGTCGGTGCCGTTGTTTGGGCGTGGGTAGGAGAATGAAAAACAACATACCTCTGAAGATGGAGTGGATGAGGCAAGCAGGCAACCTCAACCAAAAGGAGGAAGAAAGGAGATAAGCAGGCGAGAAGCCAGAGACAAGCACAGGAGCAAAAGGAATCGCCGCTTTGAGGGGTGGAGAGATGGGGGACGAAAAATGGACGATGGGCAACGGCAGAGCGAGATGCGTGGAGAAGTGGTATGGATGATGAGGATGGGGACGAGGTTGGAGGTTGGAGGAGACGAGCGCAGGCGGAAGGAAGCACAGGAGGTTTAAGAGCCTTAGCCTCGTTTGGCGGCTTGGTCCAGGGCTTGGCGCTACTCGGCTGGTTGACGCCTGGCTGAGTCAGCCGGTTGAATAATATTAGGCCACTAGGGCAAAAGAGCTCAATCACCACCAGCGCCGTGGTGATAGAGGGTACGAATCACCCAATCCAACCCTCCCTCGGACCCACTCTACCATCCGGCCAGCTGGGGGAACCTGGCTCTTCCTAAGTTCCACTACCCTACTGCCATTGGTCCTTGGTGGCCTGGGGTCTTCCTGGGTGCCTAACCACCAATCTCCTCCACCTTGGTAAGAGAATGTGCATTAGTAAGGGATATTCTTCTGGCCTTGGTCTGATTCGAACCTGTGATAGCATGTTGGCACACCCTGTAGCAGTCGCGCTTACACGGGCTCATAACCTATTAGGCCACTAGGGCAAAAGAGCCTCAATCACCACCAGTGCTGTGGTGGTATAGAGGGTACGAATCACCCAATCCAATCCCCCCAACAAATAATAAGTTACCCGTAACCAGGGTATTGACTTCGAAGTTAGAGGTATTATTGCGCGATGGAGGACAACGCTCTCAGCTCTTCCCATGCTACCGGACATTTGTGATGCTTTTACAGTACACCATATTATCAGCGGGCTCCTACCGATGTTTGTTGGGTGCACATGTGAATGCTTTGCGAGAGAATTTTTGCCCCCCTTCAGTTGGGGACATCACCCATAATGCAGAGGCCCCAGCAATCAGAAAAGGACATGATAGATCTAATAATCACTTGGATTTATTATTAACGCAAAGCACTCAATCATTCCATCAATCCACCAGTCCTAAATGCAGCGCCGAAACATGAGTCCTCGAATTGGTTGCCTTGTCTGATAAATAAATGTTGGTGATTGACATGGCACCGGCATCTGCCCAGACAAAACCCCCGTAGGGAGAACAGAACGGATAAAAAGCAACAAGCAAAGAAGACAGATGCTTGCATTTTCTGCTCGCTAGTGTCTGTCCTGTGATAATGGCTGACAGCGATTTAGGCATCCCGTCTTGTGGTGTACCCACCACCGCCAATTCAAAGTCAACCACTTGCCATCCAGTTGCAAGTTCTTGCATCAAGCTTTGCAGAATGATGCTGAAAGCCGCAGATTGCACCCTTTCCTAGCTCCGCTGATTCTAGCTCCGCTGATTCCTGCCAAACTTTTTGGTTTTGAGCTCTACTTGTCTACATCGCATAACCGCCTTGAACTTCCTGCTCCAAGCATTTCATGTGTCAAGAGTAGGCTCTGGGATATCTGTACAAGCTACCATACTAAGGTTTTCGCTTTATGTAGAGTAACCATTACCATTAATTCGATCGCTCATATATCTCCCGAAAGTGTTGACAACCCATCACAGCTTCAGACTTCTAGCCATTAAATGCAGTGATGATTCTTGCAGCCGCATAAAATCGCCAAAGGCTTCTCACGTCTCGAGTTGCATTCTTCCCTAGAATTGACAGCCAACTGTTTCCCCGAGCAATGAACCTAGTGCTGAGCTTGACAAGGACATGGGGGAACACGCAACTAACAAGATGGTCAACTGTGGCGGTGCAACCTCGATGATCCCGTAATACGCCGTTGTGTCATTGTCCGCGGAAGAGGTCTTGGAAGTGCGTTCATTAATAGGCCAATACTCTTCTCTCCTGGTCCGCCTTGAATGCCTCGCCATGTCCGCTCAATCGACAGTCCAATTATTCATAATAATCCAATTTATAGTTGGTCAGTATCGTTACAAGCCTCAACACGGCAAGGCAGACTTGAACTTTTGGACCGACACAGCCACAGATACACGCGCCACACCCCGGACATGAAACTCAAGGTGGGGCCCGATATTCTGCGAGCATCCCCAAGCAAGCAATTTTCCCATGATTGATTTCCAAGATATCACATTTGAGACAGCTCTAAGTGGATCTTGATTGCTCCACCCCAAAGCTTTTTAATCCCCCGAACTTCGACTTCAATTTTTATAGGCCCATGATGGATCTTTCGCGCTTGTGGTGTCGTCTCCCCGTCAATAATCGTGCAAGGTACTTTGGGCCCCAGGTGTATTGTCAATTAACAATCCGCCAACCATGAGCCGCTCACCCTGAATCTTGGAGATAAGAGAATCTCAAGGAGGTTAGTTTCTCCGTGACAGGAAATGATGTCCCCTAATACGGCCGTGTCACCCTACCACCGTCATTCCCTGTCTCAGATCTTTCTCTGCCATTCGCCGACAACCAGTCATATCAAATCTGTCTACAATATTATTAAAGGGGTTACTACCTTCCGAGATCTTGAACCCAAAAGCGGCTTGGCCACCACTGACTCATATCACGCTCCAGGAGCGGCGTAGTTGGCACTCTACCCATGACTGTCAAGAAATCCTCCAGGGCATTGGAAACCAGTAAGGTACAGCACATGGCTGCTCAGGAAGCCACGGGTGTTGTTTTGGTAGTTGTGGATTGCTGATGCACAGGCCTGTACTGTGTATGTTGGCTTACGAAGTCCCTTATCTTGCTACTAATTTATGATTCCAATTCAATCACAAGCTCCTTGCTATGGCATTCAAATGCGTGGTAAAAGTTGCTGCAAAGCAGCTGGAAAACATGATGCCTGGGATAGTTGAATGGTTTTCAACTGAGCTGGATTGAATTAGAAGCTGGATGAGAGAAAGCTCATACACCAGTACACGTACTAGTAGTAGTAGATAAGGAGTTCAATGTCAAGGTGTACGCAGCGTATGACTTCCAGTGAAGCAAGGGTACTCAACGTACAGTAGCTAACGAGATCGCCAAGACCCTTTTGCTTATGTAATTCAATTCAAATTCCATCGAGAAACCAATACGAAGGAAAAAACCAGCCGAGCACTCTCGACCAGCACTCGGCCCTGACGCGCGAATAGTTGCCATTGTCTTTTACAACGATGCAGAAAGTCATCAGACGAGCAACCCTTGCCGCAAATCAGGCTAAACGGAAAGCAAGAATCCAAGCACAGCGAGACAGGCGCGACGAAATCAGAAAATATTTCCAAGAGCGACAACGCTACCAACGGAGTATTCTCGACCAGGTCCATGCAGAGCGAAAATCCCGACGGGAGGACTGGCTAAAGGGCCCGTTGGCACCCAAGCGAGATGTTGCGGATCTTGATGGGGCATATGGCACCCTCCCACCGGAGCGCATTCGGCCTCCAGCTCTCCCGCGGGAGGATAGGGTTAAGTTTGTCAATTTCGCCCCGGGGGATCGGGTGGTTATATTAAAGGGCAGGGAACGGGGGAAGATTGGGAAGATCTACGGCGTGAATGCTGAATCTGGGACAGTCAGCGTCGGCGGGGTTAACAGCGTGAGTTAATAAACTCTAGCCAGGCGAGCGGCCTTCGGGTCCGGAAGTGGGAAATGAAAGAAAATGTATATGCTTAATGACCTAAAAAAATCAATAACAGGTTGACGTACGCTATCCCGATTTTATTTTGGCAGGAGAATCCGACAAACGTCCATTCCGGCCAATCTCCCTCCCCTTCCGTTTCGAAGACGTCCGGCTGGTCGTCCCACTCCACAATTCGGAAACGGGCAAAGTGGAAGACGTTGTGGTTAAGCACATGTATGGCGGAGAACCTTACATAGACCATCCATACGGCGTTGAAACGCCCAAACACACTCGATACATCTCAGACCTTGATGTAGAAATCCCCTGGCCCGAGCCAACTGCTCCAGACCAAGCCGACGAAGCGGTCGATACCCTACGAATAGACGTAGAGGATCGAACACATATACCATCCGTCAATGCTTACCCATTCCCTGTCACCATCATTGATGAACTGAGGAATAAGTTCTCGAAATTCCGCAGCCGGCACGATCCTGAGTGGGTTGCGCAAAAGGAGGAGGAGGATAGGAAAATGGAGGAACGCCGGAACAGGGTCTGGGTCACGCCAAAGACAGAATTCATGGCCCAGAAGGTCCAGAAAAGGTTAATGGAAAGGGAACAGCAGAAGGATGAAAATGGGAACTATATTATTCCGCAACATACCGCTTCATATATAGAACAGTTCCTTGCGAAGAAGCAGTATCAGAACCAGCTTGCATCGAAGTTGTCTTCATAGGGTGCTGCGGAGTCCCCCGATTTTATAGAATTTTTAGGCACCTAGCTGGTGGGGAGCTTGAAGGCGTTTTCTCAAGGTGAAGGTCGCCGCTATTGATTTGGATGCGGCTGTTTTGACAAGCGACTCTCTTGTATGATATTATAGAAATAAAATTAGTCCACTTACCTGTTTATTGAGGATTTTGATTGGCTTTTTACATATGGAAACTTCCGTTGGGTACATGGTCATTTTTCTATGGGAAATAAGCTGATCCTTCACATATCGTGAGAGTATTATAGCATGTTAAACAATATATATTTTTTGGCGTAGATATAAACAACCCTCCCATACAAATTCATATTTCCTTTAGATAGTAAAGAAAAATACACAATTAGTGTCATATTAACCCTATATATAAGATCTTTAAATTCTGAATAATACTACTAAGAAAACCATCCGTGGTATTCTCCATTATCTAACCCTGGCTGTGCTCTCGTTCCGTCCTCTTGATTTTTGACTCTCAGGTTTCCGGCAGTCCCTTGTTGCATCCAAAAACTCAACAAACCTGTGAGCCCCAGAGGTCAGAACCACAATCACCCACTCGCCTCGTTTCCCGAAAATACAAGTCACACACAGCACCGACATGTCTCCGGATACTGTCAATAACGCTGTTATCGACAAGGCCTTTGAGGATAACGCACCGCTCCGAAAACGCGTCTATTCCGCTATTGGTAATTTCATCTCTCCCGTTCATGCAAATTAACACACCAATCGAGGAGCAGAAAGAAGAAAAAGAGATTGAAAGGAAAATAAAAACATTTCATCCTATTTTTTTTTTTTTTTTTTTTTTAGATCAAAGCACTTCTTTACCGGTCACTGCGTCACCCTTCTTTCCTCACTATACAACAAGCTAATGCCATCAAAAACAAACTGCAGCCTCCACCCCTGAGTATACCAGCCTTTTCGAAGACATCGCAAAATACGCCACCACCCTCCGCAGCGGATTGGGCAGAGATGCGTCGTCTGCATGCTCCCAAGTACGAGTTGCTGCTACGGGGGAAGGCCCGGCAGCAAAGAAACGCAAACTCATCAATGGAAGCGAAGGGGCGGTAGCGGGAACGGGAGCTGGTTCTGCAAACGATGCCGCACTGTTGGCGGGCCTAACGGCTGATGCTGAGCTACAATTCTACGTTCAGGACCTGTCGTTTGCAATTCCGCAGCGCAAGAAGTTGCGGCTGGAATTGACGCGGCTAGTGTCCTCTGCTGCTGGAGCAAGGGAGGGGTATCTGAGGGCGAGGAACCAGGCGTCGAATGAGGTGGAGTTTGGGATTCCGATGTCGAGGATTCGTGAGTTCTTTTATTTTATTCTATTTTATTTTTCATATACTCTTCTCTTTATCTCTCTGTCGATCTCTCTCTCTCTCCCCCTTTTTTGGGGTGGGGTTACTGCTATGAGATTGATTTCTGACCAAAAATTTTGTCTAGAGCATATCTTATGCCTACCTGTCCCTGAGAAAACGCAACGGCAGTTTAATTTCTGTATCATCCCGGAACACGGAGACGGCATCTCGCCCGTCCCCGATCATCAACTTGCATTCGAGCCGATTGTGTGGACGATTCCTGATGGCCCTCCAAGGACTGCATACCTAGGCTCAGGCACACCCGCTCTGGAGAGTGCAAATCTTGCGGAGACCTACGAAAGCTATCTAAAGCGAATGCTCGATGATAATTTAAGGCATACGAAAGTCATTTGTCCAAGCGAGAAGGAATTTGTGAGCCCGACTCCTGAAGCTCATCGGAAGGGGGACAAGGCGTATCATGTCAAAGCGTTCCGGGGGAGCAAGGAAGGTGGGCGTTACATATATCACCCAAAAAACCGCCGCGCTTTGAAAAAGCAAAACGTCATCTTGGCAATGCTAACTAATAATTGTATCCCGACAGGATTCCTCTTCTTCCTCTCCACGGGCATCTTCTTCGGTTTCAAAAAGCCCCTCGTCTTCTTTGCTCTCGAAAACATCGACACCATATCCTATACCTCCGTCCTCCAGCGCACGTTCAACCTAAACATCACTGCTCGTTCGCCCGCAAAGCCAGACGAGGTGCAGGAATTCGAGCTGTCCATGATCGACCAGTCGAATCACCCTGGTATTGACGCTTATATCAAAAAGCACGGCTTGCAGGATGCCAGTCTGGCTGAAGCGCGTCGGGCCAAGAGACTTAACATCAACGGCGTGAAGGGCGGGGATGGAGGTACTGATAGTGCTGCAAATCATGCGGGTGAGAGCGAGGAGGAGGAATCTGAATTGGTGAAGGCGCAGAGAGAGCTGGAGGATCGAGAGGATGAAGAAGAGGAGGATTATGATCCTGGTAGCGAGGGGGATAGTGACGGGAGCGGGTCTAGTAGTGAAGAGGAAGATCAGGATGGTGATGGGCAGGAAGATTATGATGGGGAGGGGAAAGATCTTGTCAAAGAGGAGTTGGGGAGTGAGGCTGAGGAGATTGGGGAGTAGCGTGTGGAACAAGGAGCAGGTTGTGGAGTCTTCATCTGTTAAGGTTTTTTGCCTATGGAATAGCTATTTTTGATGCAGGGAGTGCGTAGTTGACGCCTGTTTATTTTGGTTTTCCTGTTGATTTCCCAGATCGTGGCATACATCTTGCGAACCAGTCAGTTTTTCCCCATTTCCATCAACACCGTTTATCTTCTATTCCGGCAAATAACGGGGAGACGGGGAGAAGGAATTATTTCTGTAATTATGGCTATGATGCAGCTACTAACGTATGATTAGAGATGATGTATGATATCATTTTCCTTCGCGGAAGGAATCTTGAACACCTTAATCCTTGTACTCTTTTCCGTTCATCCCTTTTGCATATATATAGATATACATACATACATAGATCGCCAAAGCCGCAATATCAACAAACTTACAACGGATGAAGCTTTCGAATCATCCCTAGATATCTGACTCTTCAAAATTCTACGCATATACTCAATGAAGCCCCAAAGTACTCCGTATATATCTTGAGTTGGTTACTCTGCCACCGCGAACCTTGGAAACACTGGGAAACATATCACATGTCTTAGAAAAGAATTGTCAAAAATACCCGGTTTCAAGGGTAGCAGCGGATATTATACTTCTTCTGTTCCAGGAACCAGCCCCTGATCACTAAAGTTAATAATGATAATAATATAACGTAGCTAGGAAAATAAAATGGAAGAGCGGGTTTGGTGGATATTTTATCTTTTATATAACTAGTTACTTCTGCGGTTTTACCTATCCAGGCCTGAAAACGAAAAAAACAAAAGGAGCAGCTACTAGTTGGCTCCCCCTTTGTGAGTAATTTATGTGGCGCCCGTGAGCGTGATCATTGCTTGAGCGTTTACCAGCGAAGCATTCACCTGGGTTGTTTTGGTACAATGTCATAATTGCATTCCATTCCTTTCTCCTTGTGGGGGACCAGGGTTTTCAAATTGTAGTTAAACGGAATGAGAAGAGAGGTCTTCATCACTTCATCTGCGGCCCAATCACCAAACAGATCTCCGTATCCAGGTACGGATACGACTTCTTAGGGTTAAGACATTAACGGCGAGAGTTTCAGGGCGAGACCCGGTCCAGTCGTCGTATTGGTATTCCTCATCGATTGTCTGATCAGCTGAGGCCCATCACAAATGCCCCCGAGACAGTTGATAGATACATCAGCCAGCACAGCAGAGCTGCAGTCAAATCCATTATTCGAGTGAGGGTCCAATCTTCACCAATCAAGGCCCGGAAACTGGATTTTGTCTCCGAGGGAATATGGTTTGACGTTGCTTTCCTGCTTTCTGGTCCAACCATTCGTTAGCTATGTATGTACCGTACCTCGGCAGTACATGGAATCCTGTATGGTCCTCAGGTTATATCAATGATGACGTGATTGAGTGATTGGCAGGACAAAAGTCAGTTGTTTTCAGGGAAGGAATAAGGATAACTAGCAAGTTGAAAATGAGCAAGCGAACAGCGAGCTACGAGGTGTCGTGCGCCCGGCGCTGGTCGCAGCGTCTGAGGCCAATGATGCCAGCTATTCGCCAGTGACAGATGAGAGAGGCCCCGAGCATGCAGGACGAGCCTCCGTGCGTCCCTAGGTGGAGGTAACAATGCGTAATTTGACGTCCTGTACGGTAACTGAGCCACACGCCAAGAGCAGATGCGACCAACCACAGACGTGGCAGGCCTGCCACTAATACCGGCTTCCGTCCGCGCTGCGGGCTTGCTGTACCATCTTGATACCGCTAGCCCTGTTCTGGCCACAGCGCAGCGCCAAGGTTTACTCACCAAACGCCCTTTCACCTGCTCCAAGCCTCGACTTCTCTCCTCGTCTCCGTTCCTGTCCTGTCTCTCCTCCTCCTCCTATCCACCTCCCCTCGCGTTCCCGAGACTCGACTCTCAGCAAAAGTGCGTTCCATCGCACTTCCTGCACTTGCTGACTTCCCCGTTGACGTCCTGCGGTCCCTTACGTTTCTCTCTCTCTCCTTCATTCACCCTTCCCACCCTAACCTCCCTCCTAGTGCTAGGAATAAAGACGATTCTCCCAGATAGACAACCCACGCCCTTCTTTCCTTTCCCCCCGCCGTACTACACGATAAACGGGCATAGAACAACAACGCCCTCAGCGCAATCTGTATTCATTTGCTTTCATTTACCCAACTTTCCCGGACTGTTGTTGGATTTGATCGAGTAGAAGCGCCCCACACCTTAACGGCCCCCAGACCTGGTTTTACTTCAGTCCTGCGCTACACTACCCCTACCGCTGCCCCTACGAAGGCCTATTGTTGACGAGACTATGTAAGTGATCTTTTAACCTCTAGGATATTTCTCTCATTGCCAATGTCATGGGGTGCCTGCTTTTGCCGAATTTTGTCCAATTTCATTTTTTGGGCTCCTGACCTGGACTAACGCCTGCTAAATCTTCTCCAGCACCTATGCCAAGCCCGTCACGGTTTAGCGCCCATTGACGTCCACCTCTCCGCAAGCCGTCTTCTCAACCCCCAACCCAACCTCTCCCACCGCCATATTGTCTTCCCACACAAGACCTTCTTCACTTGTGTGCCGGGACCTTTTCGGTCATCATAGCAGTTCGTGATGACCTCTTCGTCAAATGTCGTCGGTGTTCACTACCGCGTGGGCAAAAAAATCGGCGAGGGCTCATTTGGTGTGATATTTGAAGGCACCAACCTATTGAACAGCCAGCAGGTCGCT